CCTCAAAACCGTCCCTGAGAAGCCTCCAGGGTCTGAAACATCTTCGTAAAGGAAAGCATCGCATCCGCCAGCTGCGGACATTGCTTGAAGATCGCCTTTGCTGCTGTGATTCAGCTGGGTCCGAGTCCTAAACTCCTAGACGGGCGATCACTCCGATCGAACGAGCGACCTCTGGCGGGATTAGGAATTCGGGATATGTTGTGCTTTCGGTTTCGCGCGAGAGCTCACGCTTGAAGGTGTAGATCGAGGAGGAATGTCGAGACACGTCCGTAGTTCCCCATGTCGGGCCCGAAATATCGGAAGAGGGTTTTGGGGTCTGCTGCTTGCACGATGCAGCAGCAACTAAAGCAACACATCTCCACCTGAACTCCCCTGACAAGGACTGACCTGTCTTGGGACAGCCCTGTCTCACATTGCAGCCGCTTTTTGCGGAAGTATGGCAGAAATTCGAAAGCTCAAGACCTGAATCCTGAGCAGGAAGGCCGATGCCCTGCAACCCCGACCCCTGCTCCCCCCTCTACCCCACGAACCCCAAAGCCTCTGCAACATAGAGGCCTTACGTAATAGTTAACATAGGCGTTTTGGGCTATTTTATAGTATTTCTAAGGAACCCCAAGGAATACTATGGGTAATTATTCCGCCCCCTAAATTCGACCCGACGAGGTGCACAAACTAGCTGAACTCCAAACGCTGGAAACTTCCTGTGAACTATCGAAACCTGCCTTTTTTATCGTAGGGTGCCTATAAATTCTATATTCGGGCATAATAAGAACCTACAGCAATATAGGTTATTGTGGTTTGAAGGCGGTACACTGCAGACGAGATGCACAGATCAGCTGTCTGTTAAACTTCGTGCTTGCTTCCGCATCGAAGACTTCCGGCCTAGCGGAGAAACTCTGGATTCAATTTTGGAAGCCTTAGTAGAATAGGGTTTAGGACTTAGTTTAGAGTTTAGGGAAGGGAGTTTAGGGTTTGGGGCTTGAGTTACTAGAATGAGGTCCCTTTTTCAGGGTTCCTTAAAACAAGGGGTTCATAAGGGTTCTCTCTACTACAAGGGCGCTGTCATGTAGGGAACAGAATAAGTAAATTAGGATCCCTTTGAGGTGGGTTCCTGTTAAGGTACACTTAAAGGGTGACTAAGAAGGTGGTATAAGGGCCTAAAGCGTAGGAGCAAGACTTTTGGTTTGCTATAATGGGAACTTGAACACTGAGGGATCCTGCAGCGCGATAATTGTCACCTGGACCACGGGGGGATACGATTAATTTCTGAATATTCAGATCTCTCTACGTCAGGGGCCTGAATAATTAGAATAGGTCGTTCGGGTATATGATTACCTTGAAGTACAAGCGGAACCCCATAAGCCCATAACCCCGTACCCTAAACCCCATTGGACCCCAAACCCTACAAGTATGAATCCCTAAACCCCAGAGCTCCGGCCAGGGCTTGTACACAGGAGCTGGGTCTTGAGCTTCTTTCAGCTTGGCTGTGGGTTTAGGCTTTTTTGGGCGAGGGCTTAGGGTTTTAGGGGTTCAGGTTTTGGGGATCTTTTGCTTCATCAGGGCTTTTGGTGCTTGTAGGTTGGTTCTACCGGTTTGGGCCGGCTCTTCGCCTACATTGGGCCTTCTGCAGCAAGCTTGCCAAACAAGCAGGATTTGGGCACGGAGCGCTCGGGATCAAAGACGTGCATACAAGTTTCAGCTTTGAAACCAATCTTGCAGAAGTCTCTTTTGCACTCCGTTGTTTTGGCGGCCGAGGTGTAAGGTTTTGGATGTAAGGTTTTGTGGATTGATGATCTTGGGGTTTAGGGGTTTGTGGCTCCACCCGGAGGTATTAAGCATGCTTGATATTCTCGGACAATCCCGGTGAAGCTTTCTCAGGCCACTGAGCGCCAGGGACTTGCAGCGCCTTCGATCTCATGCCCTGCCGTAGAAGCCTTAATAATCAGAATAGTTTTTTTTNNATATATATATATTTATTTATTATTATTATTATTGTTATTATTGTTATTCTTATTATTATCATCATAAAAAGGAACCCAAAATCGTATTACTCATCCGAACTGGCCCAAACACCGCGGCCCCGAAAACTCTGCGCTGGTTTGCATCCAGGCCGAGGCCCCTGCGGAAACTACAAAAAGCAACTCCGGAAATCCATAATGTAGGGGCCCGAATAATTAGAATAGGGCTTTGGCTTTGGGGTTCCTTTAAGGGGTTCCTTAAAGGGTTCTATAAGGCTACTCTCCATAAGGGGGTTTAGGGGCCTTAATAATTAGAATCAGGTTTTGGGGCCCATTACACTCTACTTTCATTAAGGAACCCCAACACAGTATTGGTAATTTCTTCAGGCCCCTGTATTAGGTAGATCCAGGGCCGATGTGGGGCCATGCAGGGGCGCCACATCCCGGAAACGGACACTCCAAACCTTCACGCACCAGTACACATCAGCATCCCTAAGGAGCAACACACACAATAGAAACCTTTCAACCTTTTATTGCTTACCTTCATAACATCCCCAGGCTGCCTGGCTCGCCCCTTGGCCACAGAGATGAGAAGCCGCGCGACGCGCTGCTGCAGATCGTTCATGCGGCCTTGTAGCAGCTCTCCAGGACTACTTGGTTCCGTTTTTAGCAACAACACTCAGGCTCCAGCTTGGAGAAGCAAAGCGGCACAGATCAGAATGGAGGTGGGTATCCCGGGTTATCCGGAATCATGCGGAGATTCTAACATGAGGATCACAAAACCGCGCCACTATCTAAAAAGCCAAGGGGCGCGTGAGAACGAACTGTCGAATTAGAACCGACAGATTTGGTCAACAGCATATCTGAATGCAGGTGCCATCTGATGCAGGAGCCTTACCCTGATTTTTTTGGGACTATAAGGAGATACGATAAGTATACCGTTCTGGTCCAGCAAAGGCACGTTGGAATTTCTGAACTTCGCCCCACGTTTCCGGTGAGGAGAAGTCCTGATTGAGACAACGTTAACCCATCAGCTTCGGCTGGTGTCCAAGGGTTGTACGGTAGGGGCTTTCCTCATGTCGTACTGGCCGCAATCTTTGACGTTGTCCGATCGTTCAAGTGTTGGGCTTCTCCAGAAAACTTACAGAATCAAAGCTGGCCAGTACTTGCAGACTCTTACACTGCTTCAAGGCATAGCCGTACATGGAGGTCTCAGAACACTCATCGTAGCAAGTATCGCCAAGAACGACCGGAAGAACAATGCTAGGCGCACATCACTCCCACTTCGGGGCCGAACGTCGAACAACACAAATTGCACACGAAGACACACTCACACAACACTGAACCCATGCTGTCCTCCCCGAAAGTCTGCTGGAGCTTGGTGCGATCCTCGTCGGTTGCGCTGTCTCCTTGCAACACCCGAACCCGTAATTGCTACACCGGCCTGGACAGTTCTGAAGGGCCCAGGTCAGTTGAAAGTGGAGAGGCTGCCACCCTTTTGTGCAGTGGCCGTCAGAGCAACGTTTTGGCGACAGTGTCATGTCAGTAGCTGCACGCCACACAATGCTCGATGGCGCACCCGCACAGCAAGGTCTCTACAGGCACTGAGAAACTTCCGTTTTGCTGACATTACCTACACATCCTACCGCTCCAGACTCGACGCCCAGGTAGAATAAAAAAAATCTGGGGGGGGAGGTTGAGCGTATTCTCGTACCACTACAATTTAGGCACACGAGCAGGAAGGGCTTATTGCTGCGCAAAAAGACAGACCCGCCGACCCCACCTAGTGAAGCGCCGGCGAAGGCCAACAGGCGAACGCAGTCGATGTGTCCGGCACGCACGGCATCCTCGGGTAGCGGCACGGATGTATCAATGCTTGCTGATTTACTGTGCTTACGTGCTTACCGTAGAACTGGTACAAGTAGCAGCGGAGGTGGTCGTTGTCCGTAGTAGTAGTAGTAGTAGTAGCAGCAGCCATGCAAGCATCGACACACAGCCGCATCCAGCACAAATACATGTGGCCAATCGGCACTTATCCGTTCTACTTGCGACCACTTCTGGGCAACCCCAAACCGAATACTTCTGGGTAGGTGGGCCTGCAGCGGCGTCGATCGCCAACGATCCTGGGGCGATGTAAAAGCCTCGGCTGTCTGACATAGGATGGTTTTGATAGGCCCTGTACCGGTCTAACATCATAGAACCCCTATTAATTGATTCACTTATGGTATCCCTTCATGGAGCCCATTAGAAGGGGCTTAGGGAATTTGCTGAACGGATCCCGGCAGTGTTGGGCCAGGGCCAGGGTTTCCAGCAGTCTTCTACTAGAAAGAAGGGATTGTTATTCTAAGTTCCACAGAAGCCCCTTTCGAATTCAGGCTGCCCTACTCTCAGCTTTGCATACGCAAACCCCAAAACTCTAAACCCTAAACGCCAAAAGGGTACGACTGGGCTGCTATTGAACTCTTGCTTCTGTCTGCTCCCGGTTAGGGCTTTGGGGGTTTAGGGTTTGGGGTTTGTGGCTTCGGGGGAAGTTATTTCTACAGTATTCCGCGGTCTGGTGATTCAGGGCTGATAGGGCTTGGGGCTTGGAAGGTTCACGGGTTGTTTTTGCCTCCCACCTTGCTAGGACGAGCCCGCATTGCAGGACGGGTTTACGGCGCAGGGTTTGTAAGCTCCAGAGATTAAATATAGGCATCATAATGGAGTCACGAGTTTTTGCCAAGGTTCAGGGGTTGAAGTCTGACCTCCTGAAGCAGAATAACCAGCTGTAAACATCTGCCAAGTTATCGAAGAAATCAGGTTAATTTACGTGAAATGATTTGCAGACGCAAGTATGCGATATCTAGACAAATACATGTCCTTGATGTGTTCTGTATGCTGCCTGGACCCGCCGCGAAACCAGGCTACTGTCCAGGCTGTGAACATGTCACGCCGACATTCCAAAGCAGGCAATGCTGAAAAGCACCCGCTGTAGACACAAATGTGGGCGGGCACGACCTAGATTCGATAGACATGTCCGTGATCATGCGCCCTTTTTTGCAACTAAGCTGGAAAGTCAGCATCCAGAAGCTGCTGGAAGTCCTCCAAGGACGCGAACCTGAAGCAAAAAGCGCGTGGGTTTTGCCAAGAGTTAGCTCAACTAAAGCGCAGCCATCCTCATGACAATTGGTGTTTTGCGCTACGTCTCAGTGGCAAAAATGCTCCCAAGTCTTCTCGGACGAAATCATTCCTGATTGGTCTTTCCTTCCGTCGCGCTGAATTCCAGCATGCGTTGACGCTCCGCATGCTCGGACTGCTACGTGAACATAGTGGATAAAAAAGTTAAACATGTAGAATGTAGATATAGGGGCCTGCAATTGTAGCAGTACTGTTCCGCATATACAACAATTGTGCACCGTGAAACCCAACTCTGTTTGTGAAGGGCCCCGGCCCTTACGTAAGTGCAGCGAAGCCACATGGATGCACCTCTGTGCATCTTGCGCATTTCCTTGGCCTTGTCGCGCTTGCTCTGAGCCTTTTTCTCTTCGGGCTCCTCTTCACAGAAAGCGCCATCGCCATCGGACTCATCTTCCGGCTCATCAGGCATTTCGCCCTCGTCACCATCCTCCTCTTCCCCTTCGCCGAAGGCATCATCATCATCCTCATCGTCTTCATCCTCGTCCTCACCTTCTGGTATCTGGCCTTTCAGGTAGTTGTCGAAGAACTCATCCGCATCTTCCTTAGTCTTTTGACCCACCCCATCTTCAGTTGCAAGCCGTAGCGTGGATCGCCTTCGTGGCAGTCCCTAACGATACCGGCATCCATGAGTTTACAAACTCACGCAGCAGCGACTGTAAGTGTGATTCTGATGTGCATTGTGTTTCTGTGCACCCTAAAATTGACAGTCTGTGCCTTTGCGGTTTCGCATTCTGCTCATGACCAAGATCTCTTACACCGACAGGCACATTGCAGGTGTCAAATAGTTGCACCAAGCTTTGAGAATTCAGTACACGATGCACTCCCGTAGTTCCTTTTGGGGGTTTATATTTAGGATTCTATAAGGTAATCCCGAAAAAGGAATTAAAATGGAGCCTATGGGTAATTACTATATTCGGAGAAGCCTGACTCTATCTGCCGCAGCCTTAGACTAAGCTTTGCTGTCCAGATTGCTCCGTCCACATCGCCTGCCTCGTCAAAGTCCTGGACTTTTGGTCGGGGTTTAAGGCCGTTGAGAATTTTTTTTTGCATCCCACCTAGCTAGGACGAGCCCGCATTGACGGGTTAGGGGTTCAGGGTTTCAGGGCTTTTTCTAGTTTATTCACACGTCTAACCGTTTAGGGTTCAAGGTTTACGGCCCTAGCCCCTGTCCCTGTCCTCTTCCTTCTCCCGACGTACCTTGCGCTTCCTGTCCTGTTCTGCTCGCACTGACGAGTCGCGGAAGTAATCCTGAAAGAACCTTGTCGCTGATTTAGTGTTCAGGGTGTCTTTTCCACCCGCCTAGCTTGCTGAAGTCAAACCACAGCATCGGACAACGGAACTGGGTGCAAATCTCAGGACCACCCTCTTTTGGCGTGGACTTCTGCTGTTAATTGCAGTTTTCGAAGAACTCTGCTTCTAGGGGTTCGCACGCCCATGTAGAACCCTTATACTAGCCCAGTATACTATAACAATAATCCATAACGGATCCCTTGTAGTCCTTATAGCACCTCGTACAAAGGAACAAGCTTGACTTCAGCTCGAGACACTTCTCGTGGGGCTGCACCTTCTTCCGCTTGAGAAACTTCTCAGAGTTGACGGTAACTGTCTGACCCATTTTCTCCCCCGCCTTAGGAGATGCAGGGTAACCCTAAACCCGAAACCCATCTTCTCCCCTGCCTTACGAGATATAAAGTATAAGCGACTCCCGGCCTAGATTATTCCTGTCGCCTAAACCTGACATGCAGATCTAAAGAATGATAGACAACACTATTGCTTGGGGTTCCTTGGCATACATATACCATAATACGCCCCCCAAACCCTATTCTGATGATTGGTTAAGGCCCCCATAAACGACATCCCTAGGCCTGCAGGAACTCAGGCAAAGCCACCTTCCTCCCAGCTCTTTCTCGCCGAACTTTCGAGTGATAAGCGAACTGCTCCAAGAGCTCAGGAATTGAAAACACGTCGAAAGGATTGACAGGCATGTCCTCTGCACATTCCCCGGTTTCGCAGGTTAGGAATGCATGTTGATACTCTTCATTGCAATGCAGACTGATAGCGATGCTTCACAAGCAGCACGCTTGACTCGGTTCAGTGAGTTACTTTTCCCAACTGCCAGCACAACCACTCAGTACTGCAGAGACAAGCACCCAACACCAGACCCTTAGCCTTCAACCCGAGGCCCTGGACACCTTACCCTAAAACCTCAACCCTAAACCCTACACCTTCAACATCCCTCAACCCCAAGGCCCCCCAAGCCTGATAAGGTTGGCCTTCCAGCAGTTTGGTGGCATACGTGCCAACCGAGGGGTGCACATGGCTGGAAAGTGCCTGGCAGGTGCTCAGGTTAAGGCAACGGGTAAGGGTTTGCACCTGGTTTTGGGTTGAGATCCACCCAACTGTTCCGAAAAGCGTTCCACCTAGGGCGGCAGAAGCCGAATTGAGAGATCGACACATCCACAAACCCTCCAACACAAGTCTGCTCTGCAGAATGAACAGATAAATTGCCTGCAGTTCCCACACGGGGGTGTTCATGGCACGCGCATAGCGTGGTTCTCTCGCCAGACTGTCGTAGGCGGTCGGCACGTCCTACAATCGAGGAAGACATGTCTTCAGATAGATTTTCTGCATAAGACATGACTAGATTAGATTTTTCATCTCTCCAGGTAGATACACACATACATACCTACGTACATACTTACATACATATATACTCACATGCATATGTACATAGAAAAATATAGATAGATCGATTATGATAGATACATAGAAAGATAGATAGATACATAGATAGCTGGATAGATAGCTAGATAGATAGCTGGATAGATAGATAGATAGATAGATAGATAGACACACATATACTCATATACATATACAGATGATATAATATACTCAATACCTACATGCGCAGCATGGCGATTGGAAGAGCCGCCTCCGGATTCGCTGTCTGCTGAGCTTCTGCCACCTCGTCATCGACGAAATGCTCCTCCTCGGCATCAACACCTGCCTCCCTGGATACTACGATGTTGCTGTCCACGGTGTGTAGGATCGGCTTGATCTCGGTCCTGCATTTTCTCAGAATGGCTACGAACGAATCCTGGCTTTCCGAACATCATCCCGGCACATTTGAGCTGTAAGCTTTCACGGGCACGTGCCTAGGGGAACTAAAGGTTTACTGTTGGCTTGCACAAGGCATAATCGTATAGTACAGCTGAAGGGTTAGAGGTTGCTTACTTTGCTACCAAGAAATGCTAGAAAAATGTTTTCCCCGTCCTTCTCGCCACAACCAGGTCTCTGAGCACACCCAACGAAGCTGCTGCGACAGGCGGCTCTGCACCAGCAGAAACCTCTCCGACAGCCTAAACCATAAACTTTTCGACCCCGAAGCCCAAAACCCTAAAACGTGAGTTCGCCTCTGCATGCCACCTCTGCAAACCTTGCTCTGACACCCAATTTCAGAAAAAATCTTCAAATCGAGAAGCAACGACCCATCCTGCAAAGCAGATGCTTCAGGAGTTGCGCATCTTGGGTAAGTAGGTCGTAGGCCAGGTCAGAACAGCTGCTTCGAAGCATTCTGTTGAAGGTGAGGGTCTCAGGTTCAGATTGCTGAGAAGTAGGAAGAGGTGAGGAGGAGATGGCTCCAGTGCCCAGAACAGTAACATGCGACGGCGTTTATGCCTGTCTAAAGGGCCGGGAAGCAGGTCATTGTTGCAAAGCTGTAGCTGTGTCAGTTCTGGCATCTACAGATCCGTCCTCCTTCCCTCCCGCTATCCAACTATGCTTGCGACAAGCCGTAGCAATATCAACACTACCAACACAGTAGAACCAGCGCATACCCGTGCCAATACCAAGAGAAGCAAAGACTCTGACGAGCACGCATAAGTGTATTACAGTATTGAGACAACAGAAGGAAGAACCCACGCAGCTTCGACAACACGAGTGGCAATCAAAGCGGGAGCCAGTGTTCTCAGAGGAGACCGAAGCCCGGTATGATTGTCTGAAAAGTTTCTTCCTCGCGACCCTGCATCCTTTTCTGAACCCGGCTAAGACTGCCTTCCAAACCATAAACCTCCCAAACCTCGAACCCTTGTAGATCCCTTGAAAGGAACTCTGAACCCTGTTTGAGGAGGGGTTCCCCAAATCCTAACCACAAAATACCAAAATTTCAGAAGACCGGACCGCGCCTGCAAAAGCCGCCGCGCCATCGCCAGGCCGCGTGCGGTCGAGGCATCCCCTGGAACGCATCGCCTTGAGACGGTTTGGGGTCTGACACTATATATCTTTTCTATATCATATCTGGTTGAAAATGCGTAATATACAGGTTGCACAACACATTACACATAGTTATAGTGCGTAGATAATAGAACAAAATATCATAAACATAACATGACACTATGTTATATAGCATAACTGAACAATGATCGCATCTAATATGAGATTATGTGAAACGACATAACATATAACATGAAATAGTTTTCATAAAATGTAACAGAATGTAATGTAACCTATTGCAGTATAAATACAACCCAACATGCGACAAAAAGCATGACATAATGGCATAAACTTATTCTGATATGATCTGATATGACATGATATGATATGACATAATGAAGTATGGTAAGCAATATATATATATATATATCAGGTAATATATAATATAGTATATAATGGTAAGATATAACATATTGCATAAGATAAAATAAAATAGTATTATATAACATAATAGAACCTAATATTGTAATATGGTATAACATAATACAATATAATATCATATATTGTAATATAATATAATATAATACAATATAATATAAAACATTATAATACAGCATAGTATAATGAATACCGAATGGTTTAATATAACAACATGTAGTTATAAGATACTAAAAGATGGCCTAATGTCATATAAAAACCTAACGCATAACGTAATAGAATAGAACAGGACAGAACAGAGCGGGCTAGAACAGAACAGAACAGAACAGAATAGAATATAGGTCCAGGTTATATCTCGTATATTACAAATCTTAGGCTTTAGGACTGCTCCGCAGAAGCTTGTTTAGGGTTTCTGGGAATGGATTGTGCGCGACGTGTATACAGGGTCGTTAATAAACTTCCCTGGTGCACTGCCCCAGCCAGGTCTCTGAGTGAAACAACCGTCTATCAGACCGAACACTTCAGTCATTCGCGCAGCCCAACAAATTGCCGTTCCTTCTGCATTGAATCCCGGACACTGTGCGTTCCGCTGCGGCCAAGCGGCTGCAGCAGGAGAAATGCTTGCCAGGCATGTGAGCTCGTGAAAAGGTCAAACTGGCCAATCTGCTCATGAAGCAGGCCTGAAACTGGCAGCTGTCAACGCCGGAAAACAAAACAAACGCCGAAGATAGTGCTCTTCCTAACTATAGCCGCGCTGGTAGCAGTACATTAGCGTCTTAGCACGCCCTGTCTCCGACCAGCAACCCAAGCCCAACCGGAAAGCCTTAGCAAGCTTTGTGGCTTCCTGCAAGCTGCCAAATCCCGTTGAGACGACAAAATAGACTCTGATGCTCATTGGAGTCTAGTGGCGGGGCCTCATCCTAAAATACCATTAACAGTGGAGAACAACATCCGGCAACTGTCCGTAGCAGAAACAAAAACCAACAAAAAGGAAGTGTTTATATGAATCTATATCTATATCGTTGCCCCTATATCAAATAATCTCGTATACCTGTACCTAGATACCTATGTAATTAAACAAATAGGTATTCGCTGGCGTGTCCACACATGCAGACACTCATACACACCTAGATATGTGTGGATACGTGCCATATGTGCTCAGCCATCATCATCATCATCATCGTATGAGATGGCAGCAGCGGCCGCAGCAACGGTGACTACGATAAATACGACTGCAGAATGATAGAAAGCAAAGCACCAAAACGAAAAAAATACTCAGTTGAGCAAGCATGAAAAGAATCGCCATTGAACCCTTGCCGCGAAACTGCCGGTTAAAGGACCGGTCAGCTGGCCCAATGTAGTCCCCTTATGAAGGACAGCATGGGGTTAGGCCTTTGCCCGCTGCTAGGCTCAGATATCTGCGGCGCCGAACAAGCAACCCTAGCCGTCCCCTGTACCCGCATTGCACCGCATTTTGACGCAGACTGCTTGGCAGAGTTTGATTTCGTGGCCTTTGTGTGAGGCGTCGTCCTTCTAATCCAAAAACTCGAGAACTGCATACGTGACTCCCCGAAAAAAGTCCATGCACAGGATTAATCCGAAACCCTACACAAGGTGCTCAAAATCAGGCCTCCTCCCAATTCCGATGCAACCGTTAGCGGAAGGTTTGCGGCGTATAAGCCCTAAACTGATGCAGCCAGGTACGGTAGAAACGATCGGGTGGATCTCCGGCAGCGAGGCCACGGTGAAGAAGACTTAGGATGCTAACCTTGCTTGCTTGGCAGGGCTTTGAGGCTTCGTGTCTAAACTCTGAAGGTTTCAGGGTTTCGGGCTTGATGGGTTGATGGTTTCAACCTTAGACTGTGCCGGTTGCTCTGGAGCTTCGTCCAGATCGAGCAGTTGCCTCCGCTGACGATGCAATGGCACTGTTCCATCACCGGCCCAAGACATCACCGGCTCAAGACATGGCTGCACCATATCTACTCAACTACTTGGCACTTCGTCTGTGGATGTTGGTGGCTTCCAGGTTCCAAAGCCTAGATTGTTTTTACCCCACCGGCGGCTCGGTAAAAGGAGAGAAATGCTATCGCAAGTCCAGTCGCCCGTGTGGAGTAGGCATTGACAGTGTGACACACCTGCCCAAGAGCTTCCCATAACGACTCTCCGAAACTTAAGGCTTGAGTGCGAACTGTGGACATGTGTAGCAACAGCCACAACCTAATTACGTGCTTAAGTCTTCTGCGGTTGGCGCGATCTGATCGGAACATCCATGCAAGATGCAGCAGCTTGTATCGGATCTGAAGCCAACAACTTTCCTGATTGTCTTAGGGTTCGCGCGCCTTTTTCACACCCTAAACCTTGTTTCCTTATGCAATTGATTTTTTTTTTGGGCTCTGTGCGGCAGCTTTCTCCACCCACAAGCCTTGAACAAGGCCTCCACAGTGTCGGGCTGCAGAGCGGCACCACCCACGTTGTCCACATAAGGCGTGGCACGGCGTATGCCTTTTTTTGTTTAGGGTTTCGACTCTCACTCTCGCAGAAAGGCAGGCAAGGCGGTTTAGGGTGTAGGATGTTAGGAAGTTGTCGGATTTGGGAGGATGTCTTGTCCTGTGCCAACTGCAGGGTGCAGTGCGCAGCTAGTACTCTGCAAATCATGGGACTTGGTAAGTAAGGTTGTAAGAAGCTTGATTTCGGCTGGAAGTACTTGTAAGATCTGCGAAGTATATATAGCCTTAATCTTCACTTATTTCTAACCCTGGTTACTAAGTCCTGTGATCCTTTTAAGTACGGGGTGCCCTGCGCCGCCAGTAAGGGCCGGGCCATTGATGATTGCTCGCACGATTCGGTTGTCCTCCTCTCGCAACGGCTGCCGCTTGCGCGATGTCTTGGGAGTCCAGCCTCTCCGCTTCTTGTGTCGAAACTCCTGCGGTCTTGGTTCCCTCTCGCATTGCAGAGATCAAAGCTCACAGGCGAGGTTTACTTAGGGACAAGTTAAAAGTGAAGCATCCAGAGTTCTCATGCTGTAGAGTACTCCAGTCGAAGCGCTCCCCTATTGACGAGCACTCCTGCGGTCTAGAGTTTAGGGTCTAAGGTGTCTGGTTTGGCGCGTAGGGGGTTTCGTCTCCTATTCTGGTCTGGGGGTTGGGGTGTAGAGTGCCTGCATCACTCACGCATTACAAGACTTGTGGCACATCGCAAGGCATACTTAAAAGCTGGCACCACCATGACTTTCACATTCAAGCAGTGGTACCTGCGATAATGACAGGGGTAGTTATTTAGGATTTGTTTCTGGGCCCCCTCGTCTCGAAATACCAAAATGGTCTGTACTTTGCCGGGCCTTCTTGGTGAGCACAGGCTTCTTCAGTGCCTCGGTTCCCCCCGTTGTCCCTTAAACCCCCCAAAGACTACTGCATGAAGAGGGGTCGTCTCGTTCAGTTTTGTCAAGACACCACCAAACAAAAACAAGGAAAAGGACATAGACTACTGATACTACTGGCGGACGAGGTGCCATCTCCAGCTGTGAGACGAAGAGCCGGATTAGTCGGGCTGCGACCTCTCCGTCCGAACGGTTAAAGATCATCTCCTGGCATGCAAAAGCACGGAATATGGTGGCCTCAAGAAACAGCACCTCTGGCAGGGATTCGGGCTTGGAATTTGTGGCGCTTAGGGGCTTAGGTCGGACACCGCTGTCGAAACCCTCCACCCTGAATCCTTTTCGCATCGGAACCCCCCGAAACCCTTAAACCGAGACCCTGAACCCTAGTTAAAACCCGAAGCCGTGTGCGGGCGCGAGTCTGACAGCAGAACCAGAGCGCTGTACTTGGATTTCTGCGTGATGTTTTGCCGAGCCAGAAAGGCCTCCATCTCCTCACAGCTGCAATTCGCGCAGCAGCATTAGGGTTCCGAAAAATAGGCCTTACAGGTTTCCTTTCAGGGATTTCTAGGGAAATCGGAGGGAAGTCTGCATTCACCCTCTGGATTCGTCATATGAGTGGGCCTTTCATGTATGAGCTACTCCACTGGGCGACTTGGGGCAACCGGCAACCCGGGCACTCTCACTACCAATCTTAACTAGGGCAAAACTCTTCAATCACTCGGACCACTGTGATGCAGCTACACTGTCTGAAGCGGTCTCCTTGACCACCGGCCCCTTCATCCCAGGATGCTTCTTCAGAAGCTCTTTGAGGCAGAACGAGACTTGCGAGGACACCTGCTGACCCGCAGGGTGTGCAAGGCATAATGCATGTGCAGGCCTGGACACTGCGGTAAAATACATCCGCACATGAACATGTGCTTCTGTCTCTCTCTCTCTCTATCTCTCTCTCTCTCTCTCTCTCTCTATATATATATACACACATCTATCTCTTTGAGTATACACGCCGAACATATACGACGATCTCCAGAGTCTACTGCAAGGATCCCTGAAGAGGGGCTTGCTCGGACGAAGCGCCCTGTCCGTGCCGAAGAAGGCCCTGAAACCAAAAGCCCTAAAGCCCCAAACCCTAAAACCCCCAAGCTCGAAACAGGCCCAGTGCCTTGCCAGAGGAGTCCCCGAACTTGTTGACAAGCAGAGCCAGCAATGCCTTTTCCTGTTCTGGCTTCGCCGACCTCAGCTGTGCATGTACGCACACGCACACACCCACATACATAAACATGTACATATACACCGATTGATTGATTGATCGGTTGCTTGACTGACTGACTGACTGACTGACTGACTGACTGACCGGCTGACTGACTGATTGATTGCTTGACTGTATAATGTATACATTCACATATGTATGTAGCTGTATGTAGACATAAATGTGTGTACATATGTCTACATGCATACATGACATATATAATACACATAGGAAAACACGCGCACACATGCACACAACACCTTTATTAGGCACAAGGGAGACAGATGGAAAGCTAGACAGACAGGCAGACAAACAGACCATAGATGTGCATAGACGTGTTTGGTTGACCTAGGTGATTGCAGAACAACTCGCACGCACGCGCACACACACACAAACCAACGCTATATTTTTCATGGTCGAATACCCACATCATGCATAGATGAAAACGTCATTTTGAGCGGGCTGGGCCAAGCGACAAGAGCTCGTAGGCGGACCGCACGGCTTTTGTCTTGATGAAGGCCACAGTGTTCTGTGAGGCAAACCCCAGCACCTGATGCAAGCACGACGGCGCGTGTTAGCTTCAACTTTCGGGCTCAACAGCTGAAAAGAACTCAAGAGCGCACATGAAACAGAAAGGCTCCTTTCCGTTTCGCACGGTGCAGCTGCCTGCACGAAGGCAGCGACGGCGGTCTTCAGATAGTCCTACCAACAGAGCTGCAACCAGACTTGGATGCGACACTCCAGCCCTGCTCACAGGAATCCTTTTGAAGCATCTTGAGCAACTCAGAGCTCCTCAAAGAAAGCGACGACGCAGATCTCGGTGAATGTGGATTTCTTGAGGCCCTTTGGTGACCTGAGAGCTCAAGAAAATGCCTGCTGTACCTCCCGGCACACCAACGGGACAAAACTCGCTTCCGCTTGGTCGTATTTCCGGGAAGGTGCGAGTTGCGGATCTCCGCCTCTGGATTTCTGCCCCTCAACTTGAAGCGGAATGCCACTGTCCCACCCTACCCCTGCCTCTTTCCCTCTATCTGTCTGTCCGTCTCTGTCTCTCNNTCTCTCTCTCTCTCTCTCTCGCAGTCCTCTAGCCCGAACAGGCTACCCAGGGAACAGTCGGGGTTGAGGGTTTGGGGGGGGTTGAGGGTGTAGGGCCTAATTATGGCCTATAGGGCCTAGAGTAGACAACAACAGCGCACTGCGGACTCGTGGCACAGGGTCCATCTGCTTCAGCGTCTTGAGCTTCCGATCGGGCAGCAGCGTGACCGTGAGAAGTTCCTGGGAGGGGAGTTGTTCAAGGCAAGATACCGGAAAGTTCTTTGTTTTTGAGGACTTTCGAACAAAATAGGCAGGCCTGATCCTTGTCCTAGAGGCCATCTGCTGCCAGTCCGGCATGTTCTGCTGGCCGAAAGCATCTACTCACACGAGCTTCGCGTTCGGAAGGATGAGCTGGAGGCTCGATTCTAAAATTGTGAAATCTTGAGAACGGATTTCTATCTCATCCCTTGAAACCCTAGAGCCCCAACTGAATTGTCTGGCTGCCAACCTGTTTGTCGATCGTACACCCTCGTCGCTCCTGGGTCAGCCGACCGATCATGGGCATACCTCAAGTGGCCTGAAAAGTGATGTAGATCAGCTACCGTTCCCCCACCGGGAACCAGCCCTTGAAGATGTTTCGCGACTATCTCGTCCCATGATTTCCAGGGACATACAGGGCCAAAGGCACCCTTTGCAAGATGTATGTTTGATGTACAGAACCCCCGCATATTTCAGCAATGTGTTCCTACACGGTCTCCCAACTGACT